TTCTAAAACGTTAGGGTACGTCACAGTCATCTGGAGATATTAAAACACAGTTTGAAGACACAAAGCCAAGAGACTTCTGATTTTGATTCTGATCCTTAGTTTGCTGCTGCAGGTCCACAGATCATAAGTCGGAGTGTCACTAGTTGGACTAGAGTACGGATAGCAGCAGGAATATTCATGTAGGTGTTCTTCTCACTGTAGTCCATATCCTGCTTTTAATAGAGGTTATTTTTGTTTTATTTTGTGTGTTTTTTTCATTTCTCTATCCTTTATTTACACAAATTACAATTTTTCTTTCTGCTAATACTCATCTTTATACAATTCTATCACATTAAAATTTGAACAATACATTCTGATTAAAGTATACTAATGATAATGATGTGTATCATGTATGATGCCTTCCAAATTGTTGGCCAGATACTGTAACAAACTCTACAGGGCATGATTGCCTCATATAACAGTCCAAGGATAGGGCCATCATTAGACAAGGCTTGAATTAGATGCTCAAAGGATGTCATTTCAAGACCCTGGTTTTGAAATTTTGACTTAATCTATAAGCCAGGACATCCCCTCTGAGAGAGGAACTGAAGAAGGGAAGAGGGGTTGAGTAGAGACATTTGAGCAGATGATCTGGGGGAAAGGCATTCCAGGTGAAGGGGAATCACATGCAAAAGTGATGAAGGAAGGAAAATATTTGAGAAATAGCCAGGAGGCTAGTGTGCTTGCAAAGGGAACCACACAGAAAATGGTAAGAGAGAAAATCAGAGAAGGCGCAAAAGGGCAATTCATCTCGGGCTTTGTTGGGCCCTTGCACTGATACTGGCTTTTGTCCTGAGTAAGAGGGATAGCCATTGGAGGATTTGGAGCAAAGGAGTTGAGACTCGAATGTGAACTGGGACAAGGGAGAGGTAAGCAAAGGGAAGTGAAGTTTATTACAGCAAAAGTAACAAATCTCTTGGCACACCAGAGGGGTCCCAAAAAGGGTCGCTTCAGAAGCTCACTAGTCTAGGGGTTTATATTTTCCTGCTCTTGCCCTCTATTGGCTCTTTCAAAAAAACACCACCCAATCTCTTTTTGCCCTCGTCTTCCTGCTTTTAGTTCCCACTCTGTGTTCAGGGGAGGGCAGCTCTACAGTTGGCTGGTACATTCTGCCTGTCTTGCTTACATCCTGACCACCTGGCTCATCTCCTCTCTTTTTTTTGAGCTTTAATTGATCTTTTTTTATTTTATTTTTAAATCTTTATTGTTGAAAGTATTAAATATGTCCCCCTTCTCCCCACATTGGCCTCTTCTAGCCACTGTCTCCACTCCAGGCCTTAGCTACCATCTTCTCTTCCTGGAGCCCTTGTCCTAAACTACCTGAACCATCTAACTCCTCAGAGTGACAAGATCTGACTTACATTTTCAAAGGATCGCTCTGGTTGCTGTGTTGAACTAGAGCTAGACCAAGAGGAAATAAGAGAAAGCAGGGAAACTGATCAGCAAATTTGCAATAGTTTCATACAGCTTTTGAGCCAGCTCTGTGTGCTCTTGTTGGAAGAGAGCCTGCCCACATTTCCCCTATTTGCCAATCATCTTATATTTCATTTGGGAAATTAAAATATTGATGAACTCTCCAAGACTTGAAATTTCTTTCAACTATTGGCAGAAGGTTAACCACACAGTTGCTTTTCTGGCCTTAGGTCAGCTGTGTTTACTCCACATCAATGATCTTTGGAAACTTTCTCCAAATTACTATTGAAATTGTTTATTTCAGAACTAGGGCGACCAGATCGGCCCTCCATCTCTTGAGCGTGAGCAGCTTTGTTTTGCAGAGGCAGTGGCTAAAACAGACCAGACATTTCCATCAGCTGTTTGGTCATTGTGCTTTTTAGTGGAATTACAGCATGTTACAGTATTTTTCTTTGCCGCTTAAACATTGAGCAAACCCAGACATCCGGAGATGCTAAAATGAAAAATCTGTTTCCTTTTGCCTTGCCATTTGCCAAGCAAACTCTGTCAGACAGCACATTCTATACATTTCGATAAAATGAAATTACCCTTAATGTGTTGGCAACATCTGTCACAAAACACTCTTCAGTCTATGGCTTAAATGCATTGGGTAGAAATGGATTTGACAGTATATTTAATGAGACACAATTATAGGTGAGGGCACTAGTTTGGCCTTAACAACCATAGGTTTTTCTTTTTCCTTTTTTGTTGTTTTTCTTTTCCTATTTTGTTCTTCTTCTTTCTTTTCTCTCTTCTTTGTAAATGGCATATACAATACAAAGGACATTCTTTGATGAGGAAAGTGACTTGCAAACACCATTCTTTGTTGTAAACAGCCAGCACTTCAAATTCTTTAAGTTTCCTTCCCTGATAAAGTGTCATCAAGAAAAAGTGTTTTTCCAAGAGGTTCCTGCCTACTACTAGTATTTCCACCTTACTCACTGATTGTAAACTTCTTCCATCCCTTAAGACAGTTACGAAATTAATGTTCTTAATAATTTGTGGGAATCCTTTTTTCATTGAACATCTTTACTGAATATGAACAAGAATGTATGTTCTTACCAGTCCTCCCCCAAGAATTACTATTTTATTGTTCATTCATTTGTAATAGCTGGTCTGGGTAGGAAAAGAATGTTTCCCTTATATTGTTTTACACTCCTTGCCTAGTGCTGCTAGTTACAATTCCAAAGGATGACAAGTCCCTTCCCACTCTTTCCTTTGATTGTCAGGTGTTTGGTTTATACACAGAAGCAGCGCTTGCTCTGTGGCATCTGTAATCAAGTGAGTCCCCAAACACTTTCTGAGAAAGGATGTTTTAAAGAGACCAGACAATCCTTCCTAAATTAGTTCCAAATGCAGGCATTCAATCCTTCTATTCTTATCATGCATGGATTTTGATTCATCTGTCACATACTCACATATCTCATTTGCATATTTCCTTCCAAACAAAGACTCAAGTCTGCCTGCTCCCTCACACTGGGGAATGAGGTCACCCCCTAGGGCGTTGCAAGGAAAGTCTTCCTACCAAACACAATTTGGTCTTTATCTCTGATTTATGACAAACAATCTTTATGTGACTAGCGCAGGCTGATTAAATTGAGGGGTTTCCAAGACTGTGACAGTTTAGCTGTACGTTAGAATCTCTAGGGCAAATATTCTGAAAAGATAGACTAAGTCCCAAGTTCAAGAAGAGTATTGAAGTCTTGCACCTGCTAAGGATTAAAATATTGTGATAGTGCCACTTTGGGGTTGAAAAAAATGCTTTAGAACTTGTCTTAAGTCTGAGGTTATTCTATATAGTTTTTATTTAAGTGATTTAAGAACTTCCGTTCTTCTTAAATGAAGGCCAGTAAGTGATTTTTGTTCTTAATATCAAGATGGTTTTGCTAAAGCAATTTAGACAGCAGGAAGAAACTGTGATGTGTGTCTGAATTAAAGTTAAAGTTTTTATCATGTGTCTCATTCAAGAAGCATCCTGATGAACAACAATTCACAGAAGCATCACAAAATTCAAACAGCACAAATCCACAACCGTGTATATTTACAAGCTAAAGACCTTTAAAATAACATATTTTCTGATTGAATCTTGCTCAAAAGCCTTTTGGAGCAAAGTTGAATCTGTATAGTAAGCATTTCCAAATATTTGGCTCAATTGCTATTCTTCCTCCATATTAATGGAGAGGGGTCCATAAAAAAGGCTGAGTGATAGCCTGATCTTTTAACACCTACAGTCGGGAAGTTGGATTTGGATAGAAACATGAGGAATTAATCATCCTGAGCAAAAGCGTTTTAGGAAACATTTGCCTGTGGGTAATTAGTTTGGGGTCTGAAAGCCTGTCGTCTACGTGGATCTGTCCTAGTTTTATTTCTTCAAAATGTTTACTTACAAATATGGAGAAAAAGTCACATCGTGAAAAAATAATGTTTATAGGAAAAAATAGCATTCAGATACCTACCATGTTATTGCCATGGAATGTTTAAAAGAGCTGCTATAAGCATGAGCTTCTACCTTTATCATCATCTTTAAAATAAAACATTGGCATAATATAATATCAAAGACTCTATCCAACCCTAGATTTTCAATTTTTTAAAAATATCTTTCATTGTCTAAGTTAGTCAATTAAGGCAGAAAAGTAGGGTAGAGGAAAAGGAAAGAGGGGTATGTGGCCCGGCTGTGCTTCAATAGCCAAGCGATACTTTGTATATGGGCAGAAGTGGGTTTTGTTTTTTTGGGGTTTTTTTAATATCTAGTAATTCTTACATTCCAATAGTTATAATAAATCAAAAAGCATATTCTAAAGGGATGCTTCTCCTAACACCTGATAAAACAATTGACATTTTTACATTTTTAGAAAATTATAGCAATGTTGTATTTGACTGGCATTTAACAGTTTAGTATCTTCTGCCAAAAGCATAGACACAAAGAAAGTAGGTCAAAATATTCAAATTTTAAAACATGGGAAAGAGTAACTTGAATTTTTATTACATTTATACTAAGTTTTAGTATGTCCAAAGAGATCCAGGGAAGGAATCCATCTGGACCAGTGTTATCACCACAGTGGTAGATTGTACTGAGCTGATCAAAATCTGCCCATATAAATCATAGACAAATGTTGTAAACCAAAAGTTTTATGCAGTATCAATAAAAACTAGAGAATTTCCATCATATTTGTATATTTTTAATTAAGAGAAGTTAGTATTTAGAACAATGAGAGGGCATATATATGATATTTTGGAATACATTCTGCATTAAATATTAGAATTATAAATAACAGGCGTTTTAAATACATTACGGATAAATCACATTGGAAGAAGGAAGCCACTTAATGCTATATATTTAGAACAGAAAATGTCATGGATGGATGTAAAAATTATACATGGTTGAATTTAGCCTTTTCAGTACTAGTAAAGTAAACACGTTGGATGTTATCGCAGTCTACTGTGTTTATGTGTTTTAAGTTTCCTTCCTGTGGAACGTATTTTCAGACGGACATTGTGTGTGCTTCTAGGGTGCTGTGATTACGCCGACAATGGACCATCCAATGTCAATGCAGCCAGCAAACATGATGGGCCCCCTGACACAACAGATGAACCATCTTTCGTTGGGCACAACAGGAACGGTGAGTTGAAGAGTTTGTTTTGTTCTGTTTTCTTGGATTTCTTCAACAAGATGAAATACTCTCTTTTCACTGGCATTGTCAGCAAAACTGGCTCTGTACCATTGACTAACACACCTTTCAGGTTCCAGTGTGAACAAGCTTCCTTCTGCCTGCATATTCCATTCTGGGACACGTTTACTCACATTGACAACGCTGAAGGCTGTGTTGTGCTGCATCTAAATTTGAGTTACTTCTAGCTCTTGAGACAAAATGCACCAAGTATAATGTCTGTTTTTGGAAGAGTGTCTTTATGCATGCACCTACAAATCTAGACCTTGTAACTTAATATACTTGAGCCTGTTTTTCTTTTCCCAGATGCTTACCACTTCAGCTAATATATCTTTCCCAGGTTACTTACAGTGAGGGGCCAACCTTGACTATGACTAATATACAGGGTTTTTATTCAGTTTCCATGTTTAAGTCAGTAAAAAGTAATTGAGAACCTGACATAATCGAGTTCTTTTCATCTTTCTTTTGACTATATTGACATAGATTATGTTGAAAAATGGGAAAGGAATCTAACATACTTAATCTTTTTTTTTTTTTTATAAATTGGGATATTTTCGACTAGCCATTATTTTTCCTTAGGGAACAAAAGTATATCAAAGAGTTCCCATTGCAACCTTGATTTTATATCAGTGAGGCCTTGGAAATCATTTGCAATACTTTGTGTTAGTTTTTAAATCCATACAAAGAGAATTCCCCAAATAGTCAAGGAGGCAAATATTTAATACAACCTGGAATACTGCAACTTTGTTAATTACCATTATAGAGAACAGTGAAAGACATCAAAGTCAACCTCTTATGTGACACCATTCCTAAGAGTTTTTATTTTTTTTATAAATGTTAAGGCAGGTAATTTTTCATTTTTAAAGATGTAGAAAGAAAAATATATTTTCTTTTTACGGAAGCAGCTTAAGTATTATAGAAATAACACTGGACTTGAAGTTGGGAGTTCTAGCCTCAAATCTTGATTGAGCCCTATTGTTTCTATCTGTCCAGTCTCAATTTCTCTCTCTGTCTAGTTGAAGTATTGAACATGATCTATAGGGCTCCTTTGACTACGTGCCTTTGTGTCTTTAAGGCTATATGTCTCATAGTCACCACTTCTGTGGTTCTTCACAATAATGCTAGCATCATCTCCAAATATCTTCACATACTATGTGCACTAGTTATATATTGGAAATTTTACCTTAAAGCAATGGCTTGCTTGATACATAGGCTTTTTGGGAATAAAAGATGTTTCTGACATGTCCACTGAAGCCTCAATAATCTGCTCTAAATAGGAATAAAGTCCATAAAGCTAGTGGAAAGAGTTGCTTTGTTTCAATAAAGAAGTTTAATTTTATTAACATAAAGTACCTATCTCTAAGACTTCAGTTTCTGAACCTAGAAAAAGCAGTTGATGATACTTTACCTGTCTGAAGGCTGGGCTGGGTCAAATGATTTCTTAGGGCTCTGACCTAGACTTTTAAAAGTCATGTCTAAGGCGACATTTAACTCTACACTGTGGCACAGCTAATTTTCATCAGGGAGATAAAATTTGAAGATAATATTTCTGGAGCTTTTAGTACTGTGTTAAGGATTATTTGTCATTGCTTTGCTCATTTTCCAGCAAAACAGACTCCATGAAGTGTTGAGAGGCCTCAAGTTTCTCATGTGCCCACTATTGATTTCCTTTCATGTCAGCCTTAATCTCCTTAAGGGATCATAAATTCTCAATAAGTGAAGTATTGCGATCTTATTATATTGAATAACAATCTGGAATCTGATAAGAGAGGGAGTTATAATGCAAAGCCCAGCAAGAAACACTTTATAAATCCTAGTCATTTGAATCAAAAGGAAAGCCAGCTGACTTGCTGAAGTTCAAATTTGCAAACTAGAAAAAAACATAAAAGCTAAGTTTAATTGTGATTATGACTGGATCCTTTAGGGAATTGAAAAATAAACTACAACATGAAGAACAGATTTAGGATTATAATAGTTATTGATTCAATAACATATATTATGATTAGTATTTAAGCATTTTCAACAAGAACACACTTATATGTAAGATCACTATTTTTACCTAGCTGGAAATGGGCAAATTACTTAAGAATAATATACATCCCATTCCTTTCTCAGCAAATGTTTAAAATTTGTGGTTTATTTTTAATACCAAATTTTCTGTAGCTTTTCCTCCCATTCTTTTCTCCCTTCACATTTGTACTAAAAAAAAATGTTTATGTATATTATAAACTTTGTATAAATTGATGTTTTGCAAAGGTTTGAAAGTTCATAAGGTTCCGGAAAGGCAGAAAGAAAACAATATTATTTTGTTGATTTATTCAACAAAATACCACTATATCTAGTGCCCAGAATACTGGTATACATTTTTCTTGAACTGTCACTCTTGTACTTCAACATGCCATCATAGATTCATTTTATGTGAATTTTTGATTGGTATGTGGAGTGGCTATCAGATTTTCCCATCTATTGCTTCTTTTCAATGTATTTTATTATTGCTGGGAAGATTGCCTGTTGTCATGGAAAGAACAGTGGACATTGGGATCAAACTTAAGTTCAAAGTCCAGCTCAGCTCCTTATTAGCTATGCACGTTTAGGTAGGTTTTTTTTAACCTCTCTGAACTTTTATTTCCTCTTCTAAAAAGTAGAAAAATAACATTTACATCCCCGGGGAGTTGCCAGCATTAAATGCAATGACATATGTGACATTCCTAATACAGTGTGAAATCTGGCAGATAGATGCTTATCAAATGAGCTGTCCTTACCCGCCTATATCCAGTGGCTTCAACTGGTAGGAATCTAGTCCAAGTCACCAGAAGGGATGTAGGAAATTAACAAGTTCACAGCACAACACACTGGCCTACTCTATTTCGTTTGGCATAACATTTCTTTTTCACGTTTCCACTTCCTTAGCGCCTAACATACTCTTCCAAGGTTGTAAACCCCAAAATTCTAGAGGCCAGCCAAGTCACATTAATGAATCAAGTTGGCTGATTCAAGCAAAAACCCTAGAAGTACAGAATCAACTTTGGTCTACATTGACCTCTCATGTACTATAAATATACTTGATAGTGGAGATGACATTTTAAATTCGAGATATTTTTAATGCAATACTAATAACCTCTCTGCCTGAGAGTTAGGTGAACAGTAGGGGGAGGTGGCACCCTTGTCAGCCTGGAACATGATGTTGCCTCTAAGGAAGGCCGCCACTACTCAACTCCAGGTCGCTGTTGCTACAGAGGCATACAGACCTAGGGTGGCCTCCCCTTCCAATTTTTTTCAGATAAATTAAATATTTAAATCTTAATGGAACATTTCCCTGTATTTGAATATTGAACCCAGTTTGCCCTAAAAGCTCTCAGATTGTGACTCCTGCCCAGGGATTTCCTAGGACTCTTCTGGCCATCGCTTCTTCTGTTCTTTCACGGGCTGCTCAGACAGGGTTCCATTTTTTAACTTCTCATTAATACATGATTTCCTTAAGCCATGCCATCTACTTTCATGGTTTTGAACTCTGCTTGCTATGCCAAAGACTCTTAAATCTGAGTCCTCAGTGCTAACCTCATCTTACATTTTTAGACCCATGTTTCCAACTATTTGCTAACTGTCTCATGTAAATCTCCCTCTGATATCTCAAAGTCAGCATGACCCAAACTAATCGCATTAGCTTCCCCAGGTGTCCTCCCCACTGATGCCCTTCCACTTACACATTCCTGCTTTTTATTTCCTCTCAAGCCATACCCATGCCCTTTTGCTCTGCTAGTCAAATGCTAATCCTAGAACTCAGCCTAGACTCTTTCCTTCTCCCTCAGCACCATATACAATTACTTTTCAAGTCCCATCAATTTAGTCTCATAGACATTTGTCAAATACATCCCTTCCTCCACACTCCTAGACTCTGCCCAGGGTCTCACTTGATTACTTATCATAGTCTCCTAACTGCTCTTCCTGCTTCCTGTCTCAATGGGCTCCAATCCATTCTCCAGCATGTTGCCACAGCCAGTCAATCTAAAATTATCTGATCATGTGTCTCTCTTACCAGTAACTTCAGAGGCTTTCAGACATCTAAGCTCACTGAAATTCTACAAACAAGATGTGAGCAGTGACGAGTCAAGATAAAGACAGGAGCCTCCATCCAGAAACAGATAGGCTCCAGGGGAAGAGCAGAGAGAGATCAGTGAATGATCTACAGTAGGCAGTGGTCCAGGGCTAATGGGGAGTTGGAGCTAGATTGGAATTTTCCAGTATTAGAAGGTGGGGGGGAGGCCTTAGTCCATAGGCCACATCCCACTTTCCTTTCTAAGATCCCTGGGTAAAGAAGTTTATTGAGATGCCTCTTTTTCATCTTCATAAAAGTAGATATATTTGGTCCCTTGTAACCCCCAATTTTGAAATGGAAGCCAGGTAGTTTAACCTTTCTCTACCATTTGCCACTGCAAATGCTTATTGCTCAATTCTCTACATGTTTTTGAGCCAGATAGAGTCTCCCAGCCTTAAAAGAAATAAAATAACTGTTTTATTCCAGGGCTCTGCTGACCTTGGAGAATTTTCTAGCTTTTCCACTTTTTTTTTCCTTGTCATAGGAGTCCCTAGATAGAACCAAAGCCCTGTTAACCACCATTTCTTATCACTGTATTGTAAGCTTTAGCCAAAATCACTGGGGATTTTACTGTGTTATGAGAACCTCCAAATTGCATGACAATCTTGTTTTACAAGTTTCTTATCTCATTTTCATTTGTTCATTTGGTGGTCACCAGTGGCTTACAATGTCACCGGAATCTGTTGAAAGAAATAAAAGTTTTTGTTCTGCAGGCTCCTTATCTGCAGTTCTGTTTGTATTCTCCAAACCACTGGTGATTTGTGACATCATTGGATTCCATGGTGTAACCATAGCCACTCACAAAGATAATCTTGTAATTCTACTCCATTTGTGCATGTAGTTCCCTAACATTTTTTCAGTCATACCATTTCTCCTTTATTACTCTAAAATGTTGAATTACTAATTTTGCTCAGAGATTATCTTTTTTAATTATTACATATGAGTATTAGGGCTAAGAGTAATAAAGAACAACACATAGTGTTAAATGGGCTCATGACTAGAAAATAATATCATAAAATCACACATGGCAATGAGTATATCTCCTTAAATGGTTTTTGAAGAAAAGGTGTCAATTAATTAAAAATGGTCAAATACAAGACTGAAAATATAGACAAAAGGGAATAGCTTTTTAAATTTGTTTAGTCTTATTCTAAGATAAATAAACTTTGAAGGTAGTCTTTAAACAAAAAGTGAATAGGCATTAAGTGAAAGTCTAGTATTATGAAAGTTTAATTGCAAATATTAAGTTTTTGCTGCTTAAAAATTTATTCTGACTTCAAATAAATTAGCAACAAAGTACAAGAGCCCAATAGAGAAAAAAACAATGTGAATATATAGTTGGTAAAAGAGGAAATAGAATGCCAAAAAACATGAAAAATAATAATGAAAGAAGTAGTAATTTAATCAAATACACAGAGACATAAACACATAACCCATTAAAGAAAGTTATAAAAATAATATGCATTGCTGATGAAGGTGTGAGGAATAAACATTCTCATTATGTGATGACAGGGATCTAAATTTGTAAAAGTCTCAGTTGGATAGCAAGGTGGACAGTCAAGACATTTTAAAACAGCTCTGCTGACTGACCAATAAGTTTTAATTTTAGAAGCTATTTTATGGAAATATTCTAAAGTAACAGTAAAGCCTTTATACCTCAAAAGTGTTCAAGCTAGTGTTCGTTATAATGTCTAATGAAGAAGAATTATTGAACCATAAGCCATCCACAAATCAGAATGTAATACTACATGGAGTTATAAGAAATTAAACCAAGTAGGAAAAGGATGAGCTATCATTATGAGCAGGATGTAAATTTGCACATGTATCAAACATGAAAAAATATTTATGAAATAAGGCTATAGAAATACAAAACAAATGTGGTTATTTCTGGGTGATGGGATTAGGGATCATTCCTATTTTAATCATATTTCTATACATTCTCCAAGTATACAACAATAAGCATGATTTACTTTTATTATTTATTTTTAATACAAATGTATTTGTGGAAAAATGACTAGTGGCATGATCTTAAAATTAACTTTTTGTTTGTTTGTTTGTTTGTTTGTAGTAATGTGTGATTGTAGTTTTTTAAATGGAACTAGGCATTACTACCACTATTTAAGAACATATTTGGAGACCCTATAAAAATGATTCTACTTATTCTAGCTTTGGTGATGGTAATCAATTCACTAGTTCACATACCTGTTGCGAGAAGCAAAATGACTCATGCCTAAGGTTTATTTGCTTTTGAATCTTTGACCAATATTTTTATCTGTCTTCTCATGAGAAAGTGATTAACATTGTCCTTTTGTGGCAAGGAGATTAAATGGAGAAATGTCTGAGAGTCCAAATGAAGTTTTTAAGTCGATGGAAAAAGGAAGTTTGAGATTTTAGTTTTTTGAAGAAATAATGATCATATAAATGGAATGAGGGTATCACAGAACCATCTATGTAACCGTGTTTGGGCAGTTTATTTGAATGTGATCGATATTTGGTCTTTTCACACAGTTTACCCCTGCAAGGGGAATTGGGGCTAGATTAGAACTTTCCATTTTTAAAGGGGGCGGGGGGGAGGTGGAGGGGCCTTGGGCCATAGTCAAGGTCCAACTTTCCTTTTTTAGATCTCTGGCTAAAGAAATTTACTAAACCAAAGCCTCTTTCTCATTAAAAAAAAGCAGATCTATTTGGTCCCATATAACCACAAATTTTGAAATGGATGCCATGTGGTTTAATTAGTCTTTCCCTAATATTTGCTACCTCCAATGTTACAACACTTAGGAGAAAGACAGCAATCATTGCTGAATAGATTGTTCTGCTTGTCTCTGCTCTCACTGCTCCAGCAGGCAAAGCTCCTTGGTCTTGACTGACAACCATTGGGATCAGAGTCAGAGCTGAGTGATCAAAATGCATCAGCCCCCATGGAGTATGGAAATGTGCACATTTTTTATTGATCTCTTAAATTTTCCATTCTTTATTTTTTCTCCAGGACTTTGTTTCATATTGTGCTCTGGGCCCCTTCTAGATGGGCTGCCTTGTAGAACTTTTGGGTCAGAGAGGGTACAGATTTCATATTAATACCCCATAGAAGTGACCAAAGTAATGACAGACTGAGGAAGATGACAATGTTCTAGGACAGAGTGTACTGTCCTAGCAGGTGGAGCCTAACACCATGTACAGTGTGGTGGTTATGGTGACCATTGTAACTACTGTAAACTGGGTAAGGGTCATAGTGCCTGAAGAACTTGGAGGTAGGGGGGTTAGGCAACCTCATGACATACAGTGAGTGGGCACTTCCAAGATGTAGAGCTAAGATTCTGTTTTATTTTCTTTTGTACTTCATTGCATTCTTTCTCATGCTCTTTTCATTCAAAGATTCAGTCCCAAGACAGGATTATGATACTCCACCAGCTGTTGTGTCAGGTAGGAAAATTCTAATTCCTTTCAGACTTGATTGGTGGGGAGAGATGGAAGTTGCCTGGTTTTCTCCAAAACTCTTTAAAGCAGTGATTCTCAATGGGGCTGGGTACAAGGAATGTAAATTTCAGTTCCGGGGTGGGGGGTAGAGTGGGGCAAAGGGAGTGGGCAGAGCATGGTTCAAAAATGTATTTAATAGTTCAGTCCAATTTTGTGTATGAAAAATAAATATGTTTCTTTTGTAATAAAAAGTAAAAGCTCAAAGACATTTGGTCTGTGAAGGATACACAGAATGTGGAGACTATGTTCTGTGTATCAGAGGGTCTCAGTGTGGGAGGGTTCATCAGAATTTCTGAGAAGTGGGAGAGGACATTTATGTCTATCAAAGGAGGGCACAAATTAATAAAATGTAGTTTGAGAAGCACTGCTTTGGAGACCAGAATTCTTCTGAAATCAGAAAATCATCCCATTTTGCTTGCTCAACACCCAGCATAGTGTCTCACCCATAGTAGGTGCTCAATATAATTGTTTGTTGAATGAATCAAAACTTCAGATTTGTTCCAAAAATGGTATTTTGGATATTGAAAGAGAAGCTGCCAATGTTCCACTTGTACAGCAAAGTGGCAGAGATTGATCTGAGAGTACATTAGCATCTTGAGGATTGTTATTAGCAATATTTAAGTTGTTTCATATACTTTGGTGGTGCAGTTTATAGTAGGGGATGGGTATGTGAAAGGGTGGGGTTTTATTTTGATTGCACAGATCTTGTGCTTTCTTAACTTTGAATTTTTGTTTCTTGCAAAGAGGATAATGGGCATAATTTTTTGCTTTTGTTGATTTGTTTTTAACTAAATAAAATACTGGCAGCCTAAAGAGCTCTGAACTCTTTGATCCTTTCATGTGTTAGATGATGAGGACATACAATCTAAAGCAAGAGATGAAGGTCAGGAGAGCCCATCAGTGGGTAGAGCCTGGCCACTGAGTGGTGGTTTTTAATAGAGAACAGCATGCTCTTGGCCCCTGGGTTTGCCTGACCTAGCATCTCAAGGGCAATCCTTTCCTCATGTCTGATGGACTTGTTTAATGGTGCTCATGGCTGAAAATTCATCTTACAAGTTCAGTTGAGAAACAATGAGTTAGCTTTCAGTTGTGAAATCACTTTTTTTATTAACCCTCACCCAAGGAGTGAGGATATTTTTTCCATTGATCTTTGAGAGAGAAAAGCATTGATGTGAGAGATACACATCGATTGGTTGCCTCCCGCACTCGCCCAGACTGATGGGGGAGAGAGGGGCGGGTATTGAACCTGCAACCCAGGTATGTGCCCTGGGCCAGGAATCAATGGTGCACAGACTGACACTCTAATCACTGAGCCACACCAGCCAGGTCCACTACACTCTTTTTGAAGAGCTCTATAAATTGTCATTAATTAAAACATCACTTATCTTCCCCCAAAGTGTGTATCCTATCCTATCATAATGTGTTTCATTTGGCACACTTTGTTTAATATAGCCTTTACTTGGTTTAATATATGGCATCTTTGTTTAACAAGAGGCACCTATTCTTGAAAATTTACCAATATTAATAAAGAGGAAAGACAGAAACTGAAACTTTCCTTCTACTAGGTTTCCTGATTTCACTTTTAAGAACACACACACAGAGAGAGACACACAAAAGCAATGAAAACATCAAAAGCACTTACTAGGTATCAGCCATGGGTCAGGATCAATGCATATGAATTGAAGCAGAACATCTGGCTTGGAGTTCTCACCTAATTCCATGGACAGCTGCCACTGAGACTTCATGAGCTGAGAAATGACTCAATTAAAGTAGAGCCTTAAGAAATGTAATCTGGCATTTTTGTGTGTGCTTAAGCAACAAGAAACAGTAATCACATAGAACAGTTAGAAAGCCCTGGTATTGCTATCATTAATATTTTTTTAAAGTGCTGTGATCCCATCAGTGGAATACAAAAGAAGGCACTAATATAGAAGTGACAGAACAAGAACAATTTACAGGACTTTACAGTTGTTTTTCCCTGATAAGATTTAATTGGTGGTTTGACATCTGATAAATATGCACAGAGTTCTTGGTCTACCTGTAAAGGAAAATAAACTTACCTTTTAATTGCACAGCGTTCTTTGGCCTCTTTGGTCTACCTGTAAAGGAAAATAAACTTACCTTTTAAAAATGTTTATAAATTGTCTGGTGGGCACAACTTGAGTGACTTTTGAAAAATGGAATATCCTTTGCCCAACCCTTGGGAAAATCAGGAAAGTGAAGCAGGCAAAGGTGTTGTAATATTTCCTTCCCATATCTCCCAGTATATCAATATTTGACAACCCAAGTAGTAATCAATTCTTTGTCAGTATAGGAACCCACTAGATTATCATAAAGTATCAGAGTTGAAACTAACTGCTTTGTAATCTACAGACATAACCAATATATCAAATATTTATTGAATACCTTCTGTGTCTTAGGTGCTTTACTCAAGTACCAGGGATAGACAGTGAATACAAAATAGACCCCTGGTTAAAAAAAAATCATGGTCTAATAATGTTGTTTTTGTTGTTTGTGATGTTTAAGTGTATAAAATATGGAGGAACTAAAATCTAGACTCTGAAAAGAAGATCAGAAACCCTCAGGAATAAAATTCTGAGCTGGATTTGGAAGAACAAATAGGAGCTGACGGGTTAGACAAGAGTGGGAAAGATTCAGGAGGGAAATGAGATAAGATATGTAAACTCTTGGAGACAGAAAACAGTGTGGGGTGACTAGATGACAGCAAGTCATTTATTTTTCTCGGAGCAGAATGTCACAATGGTGGACACTGAGGCTAGGTCAGGGCAAATCTGATTGTAGGACTCTTTCCTCTCTGAGTCACATATCATCTTTTTTTTATTCAAATAATATTTATTGGGAGTGGCCATTATTGTATTGGGTGTTAGGGTTGCAACTTCCCTCTAAGAACCTAGGATCCAATTAGGAAGTTAGTTACAAATGGTAATTACAACACAATGTCTTCAGAGCTTCCATATGAACAAATATATGATGTTCACTTTGGTAAACTCTCCAATAAGATTCCTGAGTTCGGAAACTACTTGTGTAACTTACTAGTCGTGGAACCTTGGAAAATTACCTAATTTCTCTATACCTTAGATAGCTTATTTGAGGAATTAATAATAATTACTTAATATGGCTATTGTGAGAATTAGGTAAGTTAAGATATATAGCCTGCTTAAAACAGATCCTAACATAAAATAAGTGCTCAAATGTTATTAGTAACAACTGTACCTATTCTTGTTACAAGATGCTATGGTGGCACAAAGAAGAAACAACTAATATACGGTAGAAGAAGTTAGTGAAAGTGTAAGAAACATCTAAACAGAGACATAAGGGTATATGGGAATTAACCAAGTAAACAATAAGTTGGAGCGGAAATGTTTCAGACCAAGTAGGTAGCACATAAAGGACTCTTGGGTACAGAGTATGACAAATTCAGGGAACTACAGATGGTTCAACAGGACAGGGATACATAACGAGAGATGGGGAGTAGAGAAGAGAAAATGAGTCTGTAGAAATAAACTGGAGCCATATCATCAGAAATGGTAACTTGAACTTTATCCAGGTGGCAATAGATGAACACTAAAAGTTTTTAAGTTGGAGGGTGACATGACCACTCCAGATATAGGGCAGAGAATGCAATGGAGACATACAGAACTAGAAAAGGGGAGGTCCAGAACTCAGGAGTCCAAGCATGAAATCAAGTTGGCATGTGCTCAAGTTGTGGAAATGATAATAGAGAGTTGACAAATTTGTGACATATTAAGGAAGTACAATATGTAAGACTTAGTAACTAAATGGATATCAAGATAGAAGGAGAAGAGTTAAGTTCCTGTCAGTTCAATGGCCTGATATGTCATTTTCAAGGATCTAATCCAGAGGAAAGGCATGCTATCCCACAGGGGAGCACGCCTGTGCCATTCCCTTACCCCTCTCCATCCCCCATAGGCAGGTATCCCTAAATTCTAAGGGACCCCACAAGACTTACAACCAGGGAAGCAGTGGGCAGTGGCATCTCATCCTAAGCTAACCTCCTGAACATGTCTCCAAGACCCCCTTAAATTAATTAACACATTAATTAATACATTAATTAATAAAACAGAGGGAAATGGCCAAGTTCAGTATTGTACATGTTGAGTTCGAAGTATCTATGAGGCATCCAAATGGAGATGATAAGTATTTGGATGTGTGTGTCTGGAGGTCAGAAGATAGCTCTTAGCTACAGGTGGATTTTGGAGTGATCATCTTGGAATTAAGACATGTCACCCAGGGAATGTGCTTCGAACAAAGGCAAGTAGGCAGATCCTTGAAAAAAAATGGCCACCCCCCCCCCCCCCCGCCCCGCGCCAAAAAAAAAAAGAAATTTAAGAACAAGGAGCCTAAAATAAAGATTGGAAAAGACAACTATAGGCATAGTTGGAAAACCAAGAATCTAATGTTTCCAAAAGAAGCCAAAGAGAGAAAGTATTTCAAAAGAAGCCTATTTAGTAAGATGAGTCCTGAAAAGAAGCTGTTGGATTTAGTTGCAGAGAGATCACTAGTCAATCTGATGGTGCAGTTTTAAGGGGAAGAATGAAGACAGTGCATGTAAGGAAGTGGGTGTAACAAATGCCAGAAATACAACAAATCTGGCTTTCAAGAAGAGTAGGAATAAACAAATGGACAATGGAACTGATTGATTTACTACTTTTTAAGATGGGAAATAATTGGTCATAATAGGAAGAAGCCAGGAAAGAGTTCTAAAATATGAAGATGTAATTCATGGAGGGATGACTCATTGAGCAAGGTCACTGAGGAAGCCAGATACTTCTAGGAATGTGCGAGGACAAAAGGAGGGGATGAAATATGTGCATGCAAGTTTGTGAATGTAGGAATAGGAAATCAAAGTATTTCCTACATGATAAATACTATTTGTTTTTATGAGACATTAAGTGACATCTGAG